ACTTTTAAAATAGAATGTAAGACAGTTGAAATTGTCTTGAAGATGGTGCCTGTCAACATATGTAAATGAATAGTTCTCTTTTCAAATTTTGCTTGGCAACAACTCCTGTAAAACTTCAATATGTAAACATGTGTAGTTAATATCCATTAAAAGTAAGGTGAGTGATCTGAAAAAAAAAATTGTTGTGCACAGGTAGCTCAGTTTAGGGCAATCCACAGCCTCTGTGCCAATTAGCCAAAGTAAACAAGTTATGAAGAAGAAAAACAGTGTGGTATGAACTCTGCTGATTCCTAAAAAAACAGAAATCAGTGTTTTTGACTGAAGAAATATTATGCCCAGTAAGACCGAAGGCTGTAAATATTAAGTGCAAATAATATACGTTACACCGGATATTTCACATGATATTACACTTCCGAAGTTATCACGACTTTGGAGACACATCCACATTTGCATAGTTTGGTAACCAATAATATTATCATTGGCTTTGAATGCCACTTTGTCACTAATCACACATGAAGTTAAATCAGTCTTTTTGGTGGACAGAGTAATCGCAAAAATTAAAACATTTCATCTCACTCTATTTGTGCGCAAATAAGTTTCGATCGGCGTCGTTATGTTCGATTTAATTGGTGAAATACACTCACATCAAGGAAATGAAATCTACACCGACAGCATTTAAATTTGTACATTTCGAACAAAGCGTTGAATTACGTCCTCGCCGGGATACAGAAAAACTCTTAATTTTGTTAAGGATGCAACTTTCGCGTTGATCGCGTCAACATGCTTAAAAAATATTCCTATTTCGTGAGTACAATACAATTACATCACGCTGGTATTTGCCTCATGGAGGTCTGAAACACGTCGGTCTTTGATCAAGGATAGCAATTTACCGTTAACACAATACTTTCCATAACAAAAAAAAGAGTACAGCGTTCTCTGGTAACATTGTCCCCTATTGGAATCACCTCTGATGAATAGTTCGAACAACGCTAGAACAACTGCTGGCATAACTAGAGAATATATTTAATTTAATAATGCCTTCGTATTCAGCAAGCGTATTGAAAATTTTTCAATATAGCAATATAGGACTAGTAATATTTTCAGAGCTGAAGTTAAGTTCGGATTGCTATTTCGGTTTGGTAAAGGACCGTTGCGTGTTTAGTAAAAATTTTTCGGCGGCCATTAAAATGATTACAAGCAGTGGATTGAATATGTGCACGTTTGCGCTGCGATTAGCAAACTTTAGAAAGCCAATGTTTATTTTGACCACCAAAAGACCGCAAGAATGCTTCCCAGTGAATTAAAAATAGCATACACACTCACGAGCATCATATAAATCGCATACCACTAAAGAGCACTCAAAGACGAAAGAAATGACATCAGTAACAAAGGATACGAGGAGAATTAGCTAAATCAATTTATACGCAGAAAGATCAAAAATCCCCCATTGTTGTTGATTGTACTATTGTAAATTTCGCTGTCACCTTTGAACTGCTCCCGCAAAATCAATTTTATCATTTCTTCATTTTAAACTTTACGCTAAAACCCAAATGAGATATTTGTATAGCAAGCTCAAAAATCCCTACAAAACATGCAAGCTTACCTTATCCCCGAGTTCCCGTGAAATGTCTAAATGTCGAGTGCAACAAACTATGGCTTCGTCAAATTTTCCCAAAACCTTTAAGGTGTTTCCAAGATTCCCACTAGCTTTAGCTTCCCCGACTCTGTCTCCAAGTGTCCTTGCTAAAGTTAAGTCATGGCGATGAAACTCTAGGGCTTTCTCGTATTCTTGCAGATAGAAGTAGGCATTCCCTAATTGGCTATACACCGCACTTAATGTCTTCAAATCCTCTGTCCCGACTTGAACCGCTGCTTCGAAGAAACTTACTCCTGCGCGGCAATCACCCGCTTTGCAGAGTCTTTCACCCTCCAATGCAAGCTCCATACACGATGCTTGCACTGCCATTTTCCTTGATCCAAAAAACACCAAAAATTCCTTGAATAAGGATTGGTTGCCAATAACTCTTCACGATAGCACAACGAAGTCTATTGTCGAGAGCGAGTTGCGGGTTCGTCGGACTGGTCCTGCAGTAATAAATTAATCGCAAGTTTCCAATCCGCTGCGACTTGACCAAAACAACGCACTAAAGCTTTGCATCTCAACAATTGTTATTATAGACAGTTTTCACGTTTAGAAGCCACTATACAAGAGAAATTGTCTCTACCTAACTGTTATCATGTGTAGTCCTGCTTGGATTGTCTGTTTCTCCACTTTTGTGGATTTTTGAAATTTGATTGTCCACTCGTTCCAGGTCTCTCGCGGTGTTTCGCGTCGCTGCTCTTTCCTGCTTTTTCCTTTCTTCTTCACTTTCGCCTCGGAAACAAGGCTCGCACAAAAAAGACCCCACGTTCTTTATCATCCACTAAAAATTTTGGGAAAGATGTGCAGATAAGAGTTTATTGCTCGACAAAAATTCCTAAAATCAATGAACTCGATGTGACGAATAGAAGTTCATAAACAAAATATTCTAGGGAAGATCGCCGTCAGTTCGAAACCACTCAACTAATATTGATCCGCACAATGTGTCAATACCTATAGAGGCAGACCAATATTATTATTAAGGCGGGTTGTTTGTCCAGCGGAGGTGGCGGGGGGGGGGGGGGGGGGGGGGGGGGTACTTGGGTCAATTTTTTTTCTGGGTATGAGCCGCTGCTACCCCATCATAGTCTATCCTAAGGCCAATTATAGACCCCATCTTAGTTACTTTTGGGCAAATATAATTATCACGATCCCACTTTTTACACGCAAATCTTTCCATTTTGAATCCTTACTTAGCAGTACGTATTTTCGTACCCCCCAAATCCCGAAAATGTGCGACTCCATTCTAGGGTCCACTCTTTTGAAAATGCAACCCATTATAGACATAATGGTCAATCCAGTTGTCAAAATGCGACCCCATTCAAGTGCAGCATATCCTCATTATCCCATTGCTTAGAAGTACCCTGGGGGTTTCCAGTCGTTTCGTACCCAGTCGTTTTGCATCAAATTTCAGTCGATTCGTACCCGTTTTGAGTCGGTTCGTACCCGAACCGCTGGTCGATTCGTACCCATTCCGGTATGCATTAAGTCAAAATACCTAGAATGTATGTCCAAGCGGGCCACCACTGCGCTCAACAAATTGATCGACAGTCCACCGTACAATTGTCACAGAAGGAAAATGCCAATCGCATTCCGTTCACTCTTACATTTCACCCTCACAACCACGCATTTAAATCCATCATTCCTAAAAATTTTAAATAAGTTATTTCAAAATGATTCAGAGACTATCTGTTCGCAACCTCCACTTATTTCATTCAAACGCAAAAAAACCATAGGCAACTGTTTGGTCGGAAGTTCCTTACAACTAACGACCAACCCGGAACTTTCGAATTCCGCTCGCATACGATGCAAAACTTGTTCTTTCATTCATAACGTTGAGGAAATATCGGGATCCAAACTATCCATTAAGACTACTGACCACTTTACGTGCATCTGCGCCAATGTCATATATAGCATAACTTGCACGTATTGCAAAAAGATATACATTGGTAAAACAGGAAGACGACTAGGTGACTGATTCTGAAAACACCTTTGCGAGGTAGAGAGGAATGACAAGGACGCTTCCAAACCAGTCGGTAGCCACCTTAATCTCCTTAATCATTCTAAGCAGTATATGGCAGTCTGCCGCCTTTCCTTACATCTAGGCAGTTCGTAAAGGCTGAAAACCCTAGAAAGAAAGTCTGCCTTTGAAATCGGCACTCTTAATCCCCACAATATCCACCAACGCTTTTCATTCCATTAATTTATTCTTAAATAACTGTGAATATATGAAAATCATATATATGTGAACTGCGGATAAAGACGTGGTCATCGTGGCTGTTCTTTTCTGGTTAGCGCACAAGAAGATCAGGGATGAATAAGAAAGCGATCTTCGCAATAATGAACACTACTTAAGCAGCAGTGAGAATAGGGCCTGAAAAAAAATTCAGGCCTGTACGGGAGTTGAGCCCACGACCCCTGAGATACCGGTGCAGTGCTCTACCGAGTACCAACTGAGCTAACAAGCCAACTGGGAGCTGATCACTATGTTGGTTTCTAACAAACCCGCAATCCACAATTCCTCAATTTGTTCTGAAGAAGGGTTAATGCTTGAAACATCAGCTTTTAAACTCATGACAGTGGCCAATTTGCATTATCAACTCAGTTGATGGAGTAAAACCTAAATTGTCTTGAGATGTCCTGATTGTTGTGTACAACAACTTAGCCAGAGAGTCAAGCGAGTAAGATACAAGCAAAATTTTGTTGCGTATACTTGTGACCCTCTTCACAAAAACAGCTCAATTATTGCCCCCTCCATGCCCCCCTCAAACATATAGTACATATTTCGATAAGTTCTTCCTTACCGATAGGAGGGTTTTGAGACCTTCTGAAATATTTGGTCGATCCTAGGTTCATTATAAAACCAATGGCACCTCATCGTATAGATTTAACGGCCACCTCACTTAGTAAATATATTTATGAAGTATTATTGTGTGCAATGAGTCTCGATCCCTCACAGTGGCATGAATAATTGAATACTAACAACACGGCAGTTTAGAAGTGAAAAAGAATTGGGAAAAAAAACCATAACACCAAAATGTGACCGCAACCGCCAACCAGTTATAGAAATTTAAACGTTTTTGATAAATGTGTATGCTTTTTCGTTTTTTCTGTCATTTCATTCATACCACGTCTATTTTTCTTAAGTCTTTTTTTTATTTTTATTTTTTTAGTGCTCTTCGTGCCTGAAATCACTTGCATTGAGAGAGAGAGCATTCTCTAGGGCAAAAATGGTAGTGCTCCCTCCCGTCCCTCCCGTCCCTCACCATCCCCCGCTCGTCACAAACTTCAAGTAATAACAATTCCCATGAGACACCAAGCGCTGCTGATTTCCCACACTGCTTTGCACTAAAAACAAAAAAATGGCGGGCTGTGGTAGAGTCATTTTCCCTAAATAGATGTATGATTTCAAAGTGTTTTTCATTCAAAAACGGTAAGGAATTGTTTGGGAAAATAAACAGGTAAAGTATTATTCGAAAGATGGACCTTCTATAATTTCCTGAGCGCCAACAGAATATGGCGGAAGCTTTGTTGTCTGTGTCTGATGCTCTCCTGTTGACGAAAGCGAAAGTTTTTTGATGGCTTCGTCGACGCTGTTTCGTGGTCGACGCATCGTAGATCCCGTTCCGGTTCAGCGTGGCCCTTTACCGAGAGATGGAAAATACCAAACTTCGTTCTCAGGTAGTGCTTTTGAAGAAATGGTAAAATAAAGAAGTAAGGTAAAAGTGTTGGCTGTGACCGTTGCTCTTTGGTTTCGCCAACTAAGTTTTCAAGATTAATGTGATCAATCGCCTTGTTTTGTTTTGATTCATGGTATGTTTTTTAAAACTTGTACCAGACGGAGTTGGAGTGTGCTCTTCAACGCCTTTTAATGTAAGTTTTACATGTTGTACACGAAAACTGAGATTGTTTTGGCTAATTTTGCAGACCTGGCAGCAGCATGGGAAAACGTCGGGGAAGTGAAGTCTGCGGTAAGTGAAATTTGATCACGTATGTCTGGTTCCATTGTAACAGGTGGGCTGCTAGGGGATCGTTCATGGACGAGTTTTCGATCTGCCCTTCTTAAAAATTAAAAATTGGAAAAATTTTAGCAGGCCTGCATTCGTATAAAAGTATTTCCGTGTTATCCACGTTTCCTTTGTATAGATTTAGTTGTTTGATTTATTTTTCAATTGAAGTGTTGACTTGAATTAATCAAGTCTCCTTGAACGTGTGAACATCAGCCAGTTAATTTAACTTTTAAAAGTTACTGAACTTGTAGTACTTGATTGAGAAGTATAAGATTCATGCTGTTTTATAGGTTTTTTGTACAACATTTTGTTTGTTACATTCTCATGGACCGATATTGTAGGCTATGATCCATTACATGTATTTGCTCGCATGTAATTGGTCTGAATGCACGTGGTGGATTATCCCCCAGCTTAAACTGGGGGATATCTGAGGATATTACCCAAGAGATATTCCCAAATTTTCAAACCTTACTTCCCTTACAATAAGTATTTTGAAATTTAATTCAATATGAGAGAGCATTTAGTGGTTACAGGAAAAGGGAAATATTTGTTTGTTCATTAAGTCGTACCAGAGAACACTAAAAAAAAAACCTCCCATGCAGCAAACAGTAAGCTGTTCATAAACATCTTTTTTATGCACATTGCATAATATGTGAAGGATAATAACCCCTATTTGTTGAAAAGATGCATGTATATTTGTCCTTGGAGATTACCTGTTTTTCGAAGCTCACAGTTTACCCGAGCTTCTCTCTTGCAGAGATGTGTGCATTTTGAAACTGGTGGTGCCCATAAACAACTATTAATGCCAAATATAGGCTATTGTTACTAAGAGTTTTGGTGATCACAGATATACAATATTAGGGCCCTGTATTTCTAGCCAATATTTAGAATGAGCTCTAGATATCATGAATATATATCTCATTAGACCTTTTAGTGCACACTAGTATCTCTGAGTGTTTTTGTTTGAGTTGTGCCATATTTTGACAAGCCGGTAGAGTCACTACTCACCAAAAGTCTGATCAGTTGTTTTTTATCCAACTGCATTATTTGTACTCTACTTAGTGCTGTTGGATAATAAACTATGATTGTGCATTTTTTATGTTTATAAAGTTATCAATTGTTTTAAACAGCTCCAAGCTGCGGAAGCAAGAATTAATGAAGCAAATGCTGGTCTCGGTTCTGGAGTGGAGGATAATGATGAGCCCCTACAAGAAGTATTTTCTGAGACACAGAGATATGGACGGGTGTCCAGATATGAACTGCGACCAGGTCGATATGGACAAGGTGCACGACCTGCAACTGTTTTTGGAGAGGATCGCACCAACTCGCCTGTGAGAAGATCACCTGAGTTTTCATTAGTAAGGAAACAGTTTATATGCGTGATATTTTGGGTCTGGCTATTTTGCAATTGACCAAATAATTGATACAGATAAATTCAAATGTCTTGCACGTTTATATTATTACCAGATTTACAAGGTTGTTGCTAAGCCCCAGCTCTTGGCAAAATTTTCTACATGAAAAAATAGCAATGGCTGGCTGGACTTTTAAAATTTTAGCTGGCTCCCTTTTTTTTCTTAGCAACAACCCTGGGTTTGATGAATGAGCAAGAGTAACTTTTTAAGGAGTGAAAAATCTCACAAACCAAAATGCTATAAGTTAGAATATGTTACCCTTTTTCAAATGCAAAACTCCACTTGCTAATTAACTGTCAATTTGTTAATCATCTACTCTCTAGCTCCTATGTTTTACTCACTTAGTTAAAACATTAGAAAATGCTATTTTCCTCTCTTGTTTTCTGTCTGTTGTGTGGAAAGAAAGTTAAAAAAGTAGTATACACCAGAAATTTCAGTCATCTTGAACCACAAAAATTTGCTCTGGCAAAACATAAAAGACTGCCAATCTGTGATGTGAGTCTCCTGCAAAGTTTTCATGCTAGGTACATATATCAATTGTTTGAGGCTATTTTGTTTCCATTGGCTGCTCCATAGAATGGGAACAGACAGGAGTCGTCAGTCAGAGCACAAGCACCCACCTCTTTGCTATCTCCTCCATCAAGGGATAGTCACCCTGCTGAGATTGGAAGCAGTACCACCACAAGAAATCCACCAGCTGTCTTTCCTACATACCCCCAAATGACGGATGGTGTGGATCCTGTTTTGACAACAGCTTACTCGTCAATCTACAGGGCAAATGAGAAACCAATTCGTAGATCACCTGTCAGATTTCAAGGTCTTTCAACCATCCCTTCTTCCTCTAGCTTTGATGATTCATTGGAAGTTGGCAGTACAGCTAGACTGTCCAGGAGTGAAACTCGTCCAACATCCTCACTTGGGCTCAGACCTGTAATAGCAAATAATTCAGGTATTCTAAGTTTCTCTTTCAAACTGTCATTTTTTCCTCTGGTCATGTGTTGTGTAACTTCCCGACTAAGGGGCTGTCTTTAATAGAACTTATGTTGATTACTGCTGTTTAATGAACTCCCAGAAGTTTTCAACATCTAACTTCTCCTTATAACATTCATGCATTATCTTGCAAACAGGTGATGAGAAAATAAATTTTCATCTTGACCTAACACCAATTTCTCATAACTACTTTACAATGAAATGTGTAGTAGCTAGAGGGGAGAATAACCAATCAGATCTTAGGAGTTCAAGGGTTAATTTCAGGGTAATAGTAAATGTTTGCCATGAAGTCTCGTACCGCTGAAAGATGCGAAAAATCTTTGCAAGCTTGTCTCAATGGACTATATTTGTGTTTACCCTGATGACCTTGAGGGATCTTGATTAGTTTTTTATTAACTTCTGATTACAGATGCACTTGCAAGGTTGAAAGAGAGAATTAAACTACAGAAAGAACAAGCCTCAAGGCTTAGTCCAACTGATTCTATTGCAGGTGAAGAAAATGCATCTTATTTATACTTAGCAGCATTTATAGCTTCATCAGTTATCTGTTTTTAAACCTGCCTGACATGTTACAGACCCGAAGGTGAATGACATGAGAATTTTATGTTAGGGGAAGGGGGGAGGAAGTCTGCCAGCCACATATTTTGAAGGGGTGGCTACCATTCTTGAATGACTAGCTTTTTAAAAATCTCTAGAGAGCACTTTGTCCAAATTACCACTCCTTATAACTTACAATGATATGTTCTGGTTTTTTTGAAAAACAACAATTACGGACTATGAAAATACAGTCATAATTAGCAACAATTTTAAAATTGTAAATTGTCATTAATGTTTGAAAAGGAATCATTCTACTGTGGAAGGCAAGACTGCTTGGGTCTTGAATTTGTGAACAGGACTTTGAGCACATTGCTTCATGAGTTTGCAACAAAATCTCAAAAGATCTGTGAAGAGGCTTGAGGCCGAGATGAACTGCTACATCAGATTAGCCTTAAACTGTGCTTTTCACAAATACTTGACAAATTTTGCTGCATATATGTATGCAAACTCCTTCAAAATTCTTGTTGGAATAACCCTCAAATAATCTTTTTCACATGAGCTTGAAAATTTTTATTAGATGTTCTTCCTTTTATTGATTACACCTCTATTTTATAAACAGGGATAAGCTCTGCAAATCCTTCTCCTCGAAGCTCAGAGGGCCCGTCTGTGGAGGTTGCAGCAGAGGAACCATGTATGAGGGATTTGGATGTTCCAATGAGACCTGCAATTTCCAAGAGAAAAGTAGCCTCTGCCCCTGCAGCACCTGCTTATAAAGGTAACCAGCTGAAATAATTACTTTGGTCTTTATGCATTGGTAGTAAAGGTCAACATTTTCTGCCAGTTGAGCTGATCGATGCTTTATGTTTTGAAAGCTTTTCCTTGATGATAATTAACCCAAGTGATGCAACATACCAACTTGAAATGTCTTGTCATAATTTAAAAAAAATTCCTGATTAGGTTTCAGTGAGGTAGAATCAAAACCTGCAGTGTTATCTGAAGTTAACAGAAAGGTCAAAGCAAAGAGTTCAACAGTTGACAATGCAAGAACAAAGGCTGCCACCCAAAGGCCTCAAAAGCCATTGCAACAAAAAGGCAAGTTGTCCCACTTAATTCTTTGAATTACCCATATATTAAAAAAAAGTGGGCAATTTCTGCAAAGAGGGGCAGTTTTGTGCATGTCTGTGTGGGTGAGACTGAAGCAAAGTGAAGAAGTATCTTTGAAACTGGATTATAGATGCTATGACATGTGATTTTGCTTAGTTCAGGTATTTCAACCCTTTACACCCTTACATCAGTTCCCATCTTCTCCTTACTTTTCTCGTCATATATTTATTTTGGTACTGACAAGGAGAATTTTTTTCACCAATTAAAGCTTCCAAGCTGGCCAACAAACAGTGAAAAGCAACCATTTTCTTTGTTCTCATGTGTTAATGATTGATTCAGTAGTATTACTCTAAATGAAGTAAAATGCAATTTAATGGAATTAACAACAAAGATCATTAGTGTTCTCCAGTAGTCGACAGTTTTTGCATATGCATTTTCATTGGAATTCCATGTGCACTTCATTTGAGGCTTTCTTGTGTGTGCTTTGAGTGTGAACTTGCAGCATTGTTTGGAGTGGCAGCTCATCATCTGGGTAGGCAGTTTTCCCTATCTCTTCCTCCCTCTTTCCACTGTGGAAAGACAGGTGCCTCTTTCCCTTTCCTGTGTGGGGGCTTATGGCTGGGTTGCCAGGATTTGCCAGCCATGGGAGCAGTCTCCATCTAGGAGCTGGCTGCTGATAGTGGAAGTTCCTGGATGCCTCAGGCACTCAACCTCATTGTAACATTGCAGTTGTTAAAGCAAAAGTAGATCCTCATCACTCTTAGGGGTTAAGGTGTTAAGTCTTCAGAAGATACATGACTAATATGAAACATCTTTTTCCAGGACCTCCCAAGGTACAACGAGTCATTGCCCCTCGCCGCCCAACGGACATTATAACAACATCATCATGGCGTACTGGCCAACAAACAGTGAAAAGGATTTTGGGTCCAGCAACCAAGAAGGCAAAAACTTCTGCCACCAGTCGACCCCAGTCAAGCAGTAGCCAAGATACAGACATATCAGAACCTAGGAGTCTAAATTTCCAGTTGAAAAATGATACTGGCAATAAAAGGAGTGGTGGTTACATGAATGGGGATTTAGGGGAGAGGAATGGCAGTGCAAAGAGTGATAATTCCAGAGAAGCATCTCCAGTTCATGAAGAGCAAGCAGTGAACACAGGGAAGACGGACTCAGGTGAGATAAATCATACCTAGAATACCTTAACCTTTTTACTCCCTAGATCTCATTGGTAATTCTCCTTACTGTCTGCTATAAAATTCTTATGATGTTGGTTAAGAGAATTTGTAGTGGATAAACTCATTATCCCCTAATTTATATTTGTTCTTTATGCCCTGGTCTGATTGATATTGTATTGATATTGTAAGGAGAAATTATGTCTTGGTCACTCCTGGGAGTGAAAGGGTTGAAAAAATGACAACAACAAAAAGAAAAACAGAAGAGGCAATTGTTGTACTTTGGGACAACTACATTAATGTCCATACTGAAAAGGTTGTTGTTTTTTTATTTCACATTATTCTTTAGTTGATGAATTGTGAATAATTTTCATCTGAATGACCCTCATCAAATTCAAAAAATAAAATTATTACTGAAGTGATTGAATCTGTAATTTCTTCCTTCTATCAACAGATTCTGAACTGTCCCAAAATTCTCCAGTTGCTGCCAAGGAATTTGAAGCAGTTGGCCCTGATGAGGATGTGAAAGATTTAAGAGGGAACAGAATTTTATCCACAGAGGCAAAAAATATTCTGTCTGACTTAGAACTTGATACTGATGATGAATCTGGTTAGTGTTTAAGTAAGAGGTTACTTTAATGAGATGATATAGAAATAATATGTTCAGTTCTAAATGTCAGTCATGGGATTAGGTCATATGAACATTTGAGGTCTGTACTGGAAGTTATGGACCAACTTTTTTCTGCTTGGATTTACAATCCATGTGCAAGGTATGTTTTTGTATTTAGACCATATCTTTGTGTGGATTAAACAAGGTTCTGTAACTTGCTGTAAACTCTGAGAAAATGAGGTTAGGAAGACTTTATTACACTTTTGTGTTCAAATAGGGAGGGAAAATTTATTGATAAAACTGGATATTTTCATTTTTCAACTGGTTGTTGTGCCTCTTCAGACAAGGAAGATGGTGATAAGGTTATTCCCAAGTTCAAACCCAAACAAACTCAAGTGAAGCAGTCATCAAAGGGAATTCAGAGAAAGAGACCATTGAGGGTAAAGCCACAAGGTTTGGAGCAAGTTATATTTTTATGGAATTTCTAAAACTTATTTCATAACTTACTTTGGGGAAAAAAAATCAGAAAATTGTGCTTCTGATGTGACTCTTGAGGATGAAATTAGTAATTTAGTATTAACATGGTGACCTTGTCTGTTTACGTTGAATTCTGTGGAATTTAGTTCTTCTGATTTTCTATAAAGGCATTTTCTATTTTCCTCAAGTTTGATTTACGTCTGCTTACATTAAGAAACTCATCATTAATAATTCTTTTGACCAGTTATTACCCATCAATAATGATATTATGTTACTTATGTCAATAGCATACATACAATATTACTAGTAATCATGATACTAATTATAACTGTAATGATTATTATAATAGTGATTATTAGTAGTAGAAGTTATAATAAGAGTTACATGATGATGATAATAATAAAAATAATAATATCAAATAATAACTATTATTATTATAATGTATTTCTAGCTTCACAACAGCCAAGCTATCCTGCACAAAAGCAGAGACACTATGACACTGATGAAGTTAAGGTTAGGATACAAAATCTGTTCTTGAGAAAAAGAAATATTTTTTTTGGGATGGCTTACCTCCCCTCGATCAGTTTCTCATTTCTTTTAGGTATTAAAGGGTTTATTTCAAACTTACAATTTGCACCTTTAGTAAATCATGCATTAAATATGGTTTGATTACTCCCATGAATTTTCAGAAGATATTTTAATTTCGTGGATTATTTTATACTGAATTCCTAAACTCATTGTACACATGACAATGGAGTAATTTGAATTGCTGTGTTTTGAGCAGAAATACATGGCTAAAAAAATGGCTGAAAGAAAGGAAAAGTTGAAAGAAGACAGGCTTATGAAACAAAGGGCTGTGGAAGAAAAAAAGAAGAAGCTTGAGGTACACTGGGCTGTTAACTAATCTTAGATTTATTATAATTTATTTAAGTTTACTTTCATTATTATAATTATGATTATTACTACTAACTTTTAACAGCTGTGTAATATTATTTTCTTTATTTAAAACAAATCCTTATGGGCTGATGCCTTTCTCTGCAGGAACTGTACAGTAGACAAAAAAAGAATCTTGGAAACAACCTTCATCGCAAAGACAAGAAATCTCTTGGGGAAACATATTCAAAAGGCCGCAGTGATTTCAGATCTATTATATACCCTTACAACCACCCATTCCAACAAGATGAAGTAGAGGTAAATAGCTTGTTAAATTTTCATCCAGTCCTCTTGACAGACAAAAAGTTGACCAAGGTTCACAGTTACTTGCAAGTTAATATATAACACAAAGTTGTACATGTATATATTCTTTCAAGTACAGAATGTATTTTTTGTAAGAATGCCATGGAACTTCATCAAAAGCTAAGAATTTGCAAAGAATTGCTGAATAACTCCATACTACTGACTGATGGTTAAATGCTAGACAACAGATTGTGAAATACTTACTTAGAGCCCACAGGCAGTTTCTGAACGTAAAGATTTTATGTTGAAATACTATATTGTTCATGTACTGTATTGTATGGTTTAGTTAAGATCTAGAATTGAAGTCATGTGCTCAAAGGTATCAGAGTGAAATTGTAAAAAATTCTTTACTATCATTCTGTTTTGTTTACTTGAAGCCCAGTATGTCTCATGCAAGGCTTGATGTTAAGTTATTTACATTGTTACCTTTTTCTTCCCTTTAAGTGTTACAGTGAAGATACTGGAGTCAGTGGGTCAGATAAAGGTACATATCAAAAAATAGGAGTCTAAATTATAGTTTATGTCAGTTTACCTTAACTCTTTAATCTATATGGCCCTGAAAAGTGTTTCTGGACAAATACATGTTGTACTCAAGGCTGTTGCTAATGTCATCTTGCAGAGAATCTTGACATCGCCTCCTTCAAAGGTCTTCCAAATTATTCCACATCCAGGGAGACACTTGGGGTGAATGGCAGAGACCACCACAGTTTATCTAGCTCATCATCTGTTCTAAGTGAAGATGGCAGCATTTCTCCAGAACCACACAGAGAAAGGAAGAGTCCAGTCCCAGGTGTAACTAGTGTATCTATTGGAACAAAGACCACTGATTTGAGACCTGAATATGTTGGCTTCCCTCAAGGTACATGTAAATGCATGGTTTGTCACGTGTAGAACCACAAACTGTTTCCCTTTCAATGATTTGCAGATTCAAGGTAAACAAAATCTCCAAACTTTATTGTGCTGGATAACAAAACTAAATTAACAAAAGGAATAAGGGTTAGCAGATAGCTTACATTCAGGGGGTTTCAAAGTTGGAGTTAGCCAGAAGTGAGAATCTTACATTTATACTGTCATTAGGAGCTGGTAAATAATTTCTAGCACCATAAACTTTATTTATCAAAGAAAATTATCAATATCTATATAATTAATTTGTTTTAAAGTAAACCTACAACATGATGTGTTTTTGACAACAGGTGAGTTTGAGCCTCGTTCTTCCAGCCCAAGTCAGCTGGCTGACAGACACAGACCAGGGGTTGTGTCTTCATCTGGTATGTCTGTAGTTTTACTGTGTTATACATATGTCTGTTCTTCTTTCATTTTTATGTTAAATTTTTGGTCTTCATTGGATGATTTGATCTCTCCATTGAATTTAAAAGAACACATTTTTACACTTCTTTTCTTGATACATCTAACATTGGTGTGGAAAGATTTTTTTTGTTTTGTTTTCAAATTTTAATACACGTAAATGAAAAATTTTGAAAATACAAGATACAAAATAACAATATAATAAAAAATGACACATTATTGTACAAAATATATTTTTTTTGTATTTGTATTGGGTGTGGAAAGATGGGAGCTTTTATGTGGGTGCCAGGATTTTGTCATGTTGAAAATTTTGTCTATGCTGCAGAGATTCCCTTATAAATAGTAGCTGGTAAACTTTACACCTCTGAAAGAACTGTCATCTGGTTTCCACCTGAAATTGGAAATTATATGCATTATTGAAAAATTTAGCAAAGATTCCTCATATATTGCAATGATTTCAAGTGAAACATCTTGACTGAACAAGTTTTTAAAGAAGATGTGCGATTATTACTGGGAAACATTTTGTTTTTGTACTCACTTAACATAAAAAAATAACAAGTTTTTAAAGGAGTTTATTATATAGAATAAAGTGACCCCTTGTCTTAATTTGCAGCAAGAAATGAGGAGGAAAGGCTTTCAAGTAGTCCTCCCAGAGAGGATAGAATTGCAGCAATAAAACAAACAGCTGCACAGCTCAAACAGCGACTGGCAACAGAAGCATTACGACTTGGTCTGAATCTGAACACCACTACTTCTGAAGAAACAGCTGAGGAACAAGGAACCTTTACAACAGTTAGTGATCACACTGTGTTCAGGGGAGCACTCCCAGGTTTGTGTTTAACTCCCACAAGTGATTGAAATGTAACTTCTCCCTATAATATACATACATTATCCAGACTCAGACTCAGACTTATCAGGTTAAAGTTGTTATCTTGATGAAACAAAAAATTCTCATTACTAATTTACAATGAAATGTGTACCAGCTGGAGGGGAGAATTGTCGATCAGATCTCAGGAGTTATAGGGTTAACAGTACTGGTAACTCAGCTTTTAGCACCAGTATTATGTGTTTGTGTATGACATAAATTGCAGATGCCCGAAAATTTGTGAGCACCTGGCACAGAGGGTGTGATGCAGTCTTCCATGAAATTTCTCCCATGACAAGTACAAAAAAGGTTTAGTTACAATATTTTGAATTTCAGTAAATTTATTTCTTTTTCCATCTTTGTTACAGGAGTTGGAAGTCTTCATGAACAAGCTGAACTAAACAACGAATTGGTAAAGTTAAGATAACTTTCTCTTTAAACACAGAAATACATGTAAATCTACAAACAAAATTATTTTAATATGTCAATGAGATCGGGCACTAAGTTATGAAGGTGATGGTTTTATTGTGGAAATACGTATTTTATTTTGCCTTCTTTTGCAAAAGGATGGAAGAATAAAGGGGGTCAGTTTCTACTTAGAAACTGTTGTGGTGCGTGGGTAGGAGGGTATAACAGGGTAATCTAGTATTATCAACTGAGTTGATAACGTAAATTGGCCACCATAAAGAGTTTCAAAGCTGACATTTCAAGCTTTAGCCCTTCATCAGAGCCAGCTAGCATCCTTAAACTTCTGCACCTCTCTCAATGTTAATAGGATTCCCGGACAAGTGCTGCAACAACAATCCAAGCGGCCTTTAGAGGTCACAGTGTTCGTCAGGGTCTAAACTGGAAACTTCCCTCTGGGCGCACCCTTAGGTCCACTGTCAGGCAAGGGCTACATCAGAGACCAGGAATCTCAGGTGCTGGGACGTCAGAGTCATCCCATTACTCCACAGCTTGGGACACTGTAGTTCCTAATGAGGACAAGAGTATTATGTCTGACATCAGTGCCTCTTATAGCTCAGCGAGATCTACAGCGAAATCACCAACTCAAAGCTCAAAGTCCCTGAAGGTAAAGTGTTATGTTAGCAAAAGAGTGGCATGATAGAAGAATGGTCAAGATTCCACTTTTCCGGAAAAAAAAAAGTCAAAATTTTCCTGATTTGATGCTATTGTCACACCATTTGAACCCTACTGCTTCAAAAGGAGTGGACACTCTGGAAGATCATGACTGAGTTTTTTCTACATTACGCTGCTTTTTAAAGTTGTGAATATTTAAAGAAAGAGATAAGTTTTGCTTGTTTAAAATTTGGTTATTTTAAGGTGATTAGCCACTGATCCAACATTTTTTGTTTTTTGAAAAACTGTAGACAGAAAACCATTCTTGTAAATGAGTTGCTATTAAACATTAATAGCACAATTCCTTGATGTTATTGTATGTACATGTACGTGCGATATACTGGTACATTTATTTATTGTTCAGACTCACCAGTAGTCTTGTCACTATGTGCAAATGTATTTGATGTTCGTGTTGTTAGTATAATTACTTTCTTTTTCATCCTTCAGGATGATAGATCATCATGTGTTAAAAGCTCACCAACAAGTGAATCTCGAAGAAGAAAGCATACAACAGGTATTTTGTTGCTTACAAAAAACACCCCATCAGTACCTTTATGGTGGCTTGGAATTACATACAGCGCACACCTATTTGTAAGAAACGATTGTGTGTCTGTAAAAGTAAACAACTACACGCTACACAGGGATTTCAAAAGAGGCCAGTTACCCATGGTTTAACGCCACCTTTAACCCTTAAACCCTTACGAGTGACTAGCATCTAATTTCTCCTCACAACATCATCCCTGAATCACATACTAAGGTCATGAGAATATTGGAAATGATCAACAACTACAGAAGCTCTGGATTGTCAACCTAATTCTCCTTGTCAGCACCTTTGGAAATGTATAGAGAACAGTATGGAGAA